ATAAAAGCATTAAGATATCGATAAACACCAATATTGCTGCAATTTGCATGACAGTGACAACGAGCAGTTCATTTCCAAGGGATGATCGATACAGACATTTCAATAATTTGTTGCTACACTCGTCAATGTCCACCTTCCCCTTCTTATATTTATTTAGGTCGTTTTCCTTGTTTGCCTTTTGTCTTCAATCATCAACATCCTCGAGGGAAATTTCGTGGTCTGTGGCTCTCTCCCATTTAGACTTGATTGTCTTAATGTGCATGGGTCCATGCATAGAAATACCTCTTCTACTTTACCATTTCAAGCTCAACTGCTGCATCCGCTGCTTGAACTTTATACTGTGATGTACAATTCTTGAATTTTATGCAACATACTGACTTGCCCCAATTGTCTAGTGTAAAGTTCTTGAATTTACAGGGCAATTTCAGAGGACAACTATCAGTAAAGTAGATTCTCTATCCTATCATTTCACTGAATTTGTAATTAATTAGGTGATAAAATTGAGAATGAGCTAAAACTGTGATGACTGGTTAATGCCTTCGCTACTGTTTGAATAGTGTTAAAAATAGATTTTGGGTAAATTTTAAATTGTTTTTATTTAATTTTTTAATATTTTTTTATCATTTTGATCGGCTGATATTAAAATAATTTTTTTAAAATAAAAAATATTATTTTAATCTTTTGTTATCATTGAGCACACAGGACTTTCATGCGATTCCATGATATTACAATTACAACATCCAGATGGGGCAGAAGATTGAGACATTCCATTTGATAACTTGATGTTCACCATGTCAAGCTTATATTAAAGATTTCGAAAAACAAGATTTAATCTTTTGGCTGGTTGATAGTTACAATTGTTGCTTTGTCAAGAGAGATAATTAATTAAGTCCCAGAACAATTATTATACATTTTGTAGGGCAGGAACGCTAGGAAATCAATGTAGGCAAGCCCGCCATTGCTAGAGATCGAGGACGGAAATTGCAATGATGCTAGGACATTCACCATCCGTGGAAAAATAATGGCCTGGCTATATGATTATTTTAGAGAAACAAAGGGTTTTTTTCTCAGAACTCAACACCAGCAAGCCCTTTCTCGTGTGGACTTCTTATTGTGTGTAGCCTTTGGTCATTGCAAAGGAGCCCCACAACAGAGACGTGGTTTGAAATTTCAATTCAGAATTGATAATGATTTTGTTCTTATGATTTAGAGTTGCCCTCACCTGTAAAATTCTAAAGTATAAAGTAGGGTTTTGAGAGGTGACTTTGGAGAATTTCAATATTTTTTACAGAAGCTAAATTTCAAACATGTTTGTCCAATCTCAAAGCAAGTCATCCTGAATTAATTTGGTAATCGATGACGTTTCTTACCAAATAATTCCATTCTCTTTTGAAAATGTTGTTTTTTCAGAGTGATCATGTCATTTGGATCTTCCAAGAAGGTGGCATGGAAAACTCCATGCCCACGCAATTTCTTTCTTCTTTCCTTATGCTTACTCCATGATCTCGCATGCAACCCACCAAATTATACGGCGAATTCAAAGTCAACACCGCAATGCATGTTTCGATATATTATTATATTCGATGCATCTTGACTATAAGGATTCATATATTTTAACTTTAAGGGGTTGGCTTAATGATGAGTTTGATTTTTTCCTGATTTTATACATTCAAATAATAATATTTATAGAAATTAATTCATTTAAATATATTAAATTAACGTGAAAAATAGCTTTTAGTATATTTAGTCTTAGTTAAAATATAAGTTGATTCGAAAATATAATGATTAATTTTGCTATTTTTTTAATATCTTTTAAGCAACTTTTGTACATAAAAAATAATATTTTTATTAATGTATTATATCAGCCATTCATATTTGAATTGATATATTTATAAGAAAAACTTCTTACTATTTATTAATCATAACTCCTTCACAAGCAAGTTATTTAATATATCAAACTCACTCTCGACTCATTTACAAATTATGTAAGACCCACCCCTTTGAAAGCCTAAGCTACTATATATATATATATATATATATATAATTTTTGTTATATGAGATTGAGATAATCACATAAAAAATAAATCAAAACAAACTATAATGCTTAATTTTCAATCACTCATGTTGAACCCAATATTTAAAAATAAGTTTCATGAGACTATGACAACTCCTTAAAAAATAATATAATATTAAAAAATAAAATTAAAACAAAAATATTGAGTGAAAAAAGAAGAAGCAAAGCTTTGTCAGGAGGGGAAAGCAAAACCCTCTCCTCTTTTAGTTTTATAATTAGTATATTGGTCCGTGCTCTGCAATGGGTCAATATCATAGTTTTTTTAAATATAAAAAAATATTAAGTGTACAAAAAATGTTTTAAGCACTTTGATTCTGACAATTAGCAGACCCAAGTGAATTAGGTTTGGTATGGGTGGTAGACGCACGCACCTCAAATCTGGACCCACGCATCTAGGTCTAACAACCAATATTTTTTTTCAGATTCGTCAAGTCTTCCATCCAAGAGGGCTATATATCTTTTCTTCCAAACAACGTGTGATGAAATGATGAGCTCTTTCGTATAGTAATAGATGTCATAGAGTAGGGCATAAGAAGCACTTAAAAAACTAAATAAAATGTATAATGAAACTAAACACATATAGTACAGTGTTGTTAAAAAAAATATAAAACAATATTGTTGTTAGTGAAAAATCACAAATAATCATCCATTAAATGAACGCTCATTTGCATCGAGTTTGATTAAAAAAATATAAAAAATAAAAGTTCACAAAAAAAAGAGAGAAAAACAAAAAGGAGAAATGAAATTTCTAGTGAACCAATAACAAATTCATAAACATAAAAAATAAACTATTTCAACTGATTTGAATTTTTAAATCTAAAATGTTAAGTTAATTTTTGTGATGATTTGTTGTTTATTAATAATTTCTAAACTTGGATTTTTATTAAGAATACTTCAAAGGATAGTTTATAAGCTTTTTTAAAAAAAAATAAAAAAATTTATAAGTCTCAACATTTTAATTATCACCCGTTCAGATTTTGATAAGCATCACACTTAATCCATGTCTACAATTTATATAAAAAAATTAAATAGACCTAGATCTTAGTGTAGACATAACTAAACAAAACTATTAAAGTCGCTTGAACATGGCATGACTTTCAGACCCAAGTGCTTTAAGTCTGGCAAGGCTATAAGACTCAGGCGCCTTAAGTCTGGCAAATATGCAGACCCAAATTTCTTGGATTCGGCAACCATACATGGTTGCTATTCCGCGCCTCGGTCTGGCACCAAACATGGTTGCCAGACTCAAGGTAGTTGGGCTTGACATGGTTGTTAGACCCAAGCAAACAATAAACAGGAAATAAAATAATGTAACAATGTGTGAAAGGTCAAAAAACTCATAGACAATAAGTTTTAATTTTGTTAATCTTGAAGATAGAATAATATTTTTACTATGTAAATAATAGTTAAAAACTATCATACCCCCTGTTGAAACGTTTAATACCAATGAGTTTATGAAAAATACTGAAATACACCAACAGCTAGGGCTTTAATTTTTTAAAAATTTAACTTTATGTGAAAAGATAATATTAGCCATATCTCAAGCCTTCAGAGCTTGAAAAATCTACCATGCAAGTTTACAATGAGTTGTGTTTTAGTCTACAATATATTTGCATAGGGTTGTCAGCCCTATGAAACTCGAGTCTAGTCAAACCCGCACCTAGGTCTAGCAACCATGCTAGACTTGTGCTTGGGTTTGACACCAAACATTGCCAAGCGCTCTTGGATCTAGTACCAAACATGGTTGCCAGACCCATAGGGTGTGGAACTAGCGTGTTTTCCAGACCCAAGATGTTTTGTTCTAACAACTCATACCATATTCAAGTGAAACAAACAAATAGAGAACAATTGTGCACTTTAGTTGTTATAAAAGGAAAAAAAATGTAAATAATTGATTATCAGCGGCAATCCAACAATGATATATCTGCGCATCTACTTATATGACGGATGACAAGATATGGTCAATAAGAAGTGTTTTACTCGCCTGCTTAATGGTGCGGCGCTACCTATTTGCTGGGGACTGCAGATCATCAGTAATTTTTTGATTAAAAAATAAAAAAATACAATATGAAAATACTAAAACGACCCATGATCCTTTTAATTATACAACATATTTAAGTAAATTACATAACTAATTTTTCTATCGCAATCCACGTTAATCTGTGCCTTGAGTTATATTGAAAATCCCATGCTATTCAACTTTCTTTATAATTAATAAGTAAAATCAAATCACATTAAAAAAACACAAATCAACTCTTTCTTTTTCCTTTTTTATTTTAACTATGATTTCTTTTGCCCAACAAAAAACAAAAACAATGGATTCTTCTTAAAAGAATTTTCTATCCACGAGCCGTGGGACTAAAACTAGGCTCCTAATTAATACGTTTTCCCCTTCAAACTATTGACATACAAAATACTGTCATATTTCCTTTTTTTTTCTTTCTTTCTTTTGCTTATAATTCGAGATTCAATAATTAATTAGATAAAAGCACTCTTAAAGGATAAGCACAACAAACTAGTAGGACCTATCCATCATTACAAGCACTAGAACTTAATATCTTTAAGCCAAGCCTGATAAAATCTTCTAACAACTGATAAAGATCCTCAAAAACAAACAAAAAACACAATCAAATTAAAAACCCATCAACAAACTTCTTTGTGGAGAAAGAGGGAGTTATCTTCTTCTTAATTTTCTGCTTGGAGAATATACATATACATATAGAGAGGGAGGGGGGACACGAACGGTGAGCGGAGCACAAACAAACTACAAGGTAAAAAAGAACAGTGATAAAGGGCAAAGGCTCATCCCAAATGTACAATAAGCAAATTACAGAAACTAAAAATTCATGCATTGACCGCCCTATCACCAGAAACTGGACTTCACTTACAGGTGGCCCCACACGTGCCACGTTTACTGAACTGCAGCTTACCGAGCAGCTATCCCCTTCTGCAACCTTAATTCCTTGTAAAACATCTCTATAAACTCCTCAGCCTCCTTGTCCACCTGGCAATCCTCGTCAGCATCCCTCATCGTGAATGGCGAGTCGGTTATTCTCACTTGTCTAACCATCGGGCTCCACGTCCCGAACCACCCAGCTGAACCAACCAAAGGCGATGCCTCAACTGCCACATCACCGCCGCAGCTACTCGACGCCATATCATCACCGCCGAGTGACGGCGCGTGGATCCGCGTGTGTTTGTAGTGAGCGTGGAGTTTCCGCCTCTTGGCTTGGTAATAAGGTTGCTTGTAGCTGTAGAATTTATAAGCAGGGCTGCCGCTGCAGCTGAACTCATACTCTCTAGGAGATATGAATGACATGTGAACATCATGTGAAATGCAACTCAGTGTGTTGTGTTGTTGGACCATGATGTCGTTCAAGGCTTTCCTTAGGATCTTGCCTCGTTTCATCAAGAAATGGAGATCAAGCATGAGCTTGCTCTTTAACATACCCTTTTGCATCATCAAGAAGATTAAACGGAGCACGTTGCATACTTTCTTGGCTGTCAGTGGGGGACCTGCTTCCATTTTTGTGCTCAATGAGAGAGAGAGAGAAAGGGAGGTATATGTGGTGGGTGATGGGGAAGAAAGAGGTATTTATAGAACAGAAAAGGGTAGAGTGGAGCCATGAAAATAGAATTTTCATTGCTCTCTTTGTTAAGAATAACAGATTCACTTTAATCATTTCTTTTGTGTTTGTGCTGTCTCAGCATTGTCAAAGAAATGTCCTACAAATTTCTTTTAATCTGATAATAATGTTTCTTTCTCGTCAAGGATAATACATATTTTAAGTTAGCTACCAAAACAACTTGTCCAAGTTTAATTCTTCAATTTCTACCAGGAAAGAACATTGATTTTGATTGAATAGACAAATTTCTCATTAGTTTTAATTGCTAATGTCCTTGTCATAGGTGATTGTGAAATTGATGATCTCTCACTGGATTTCCCTACTTGGATATTTTCCTTGGGGCAGGATTTTTAAATACAAACGAAGCCACTGAACAGCCATACTTTGATCTAATTACAATAATATTAAGGAGATGTGACCGTTGCTGATCGCTGATCTATACTTTTAATGTAAATGCTTGGTGCCGATTTGAATTACCTGCAACTTTAAAACAACCGATTCTTCACTGTTCATGCAAATTTTAAAATAAGTTAATATATTTATACGAGAACAATTATACGTAAGAGTTCAGGTGGTCAGTACTGTGCGTATCTAAACCTAGAGATCTGGGGTTGGAAAGCTAGGCAAAACATTATTTTTTTTTAAATAATATTTGAGATGTTTATTATTATTATTATTATTTTAAATAAGAGCTTGTCTATCATCTTAGTAAAAACGAAAAAAATAAAGTAAGGCTAGGCTAGTGAGCCGATGAGCTGTACTCGACTTGATCCTTTTCTATTTTACTTTTTTGGGTTTTTATGGGACTTCACAGAAAACATACTAGATTCATTCACTTTTTATTTTTGACATGTTTTTTAAATATTTTTTTAAATTTTAATAAATTAATTTTTAATTATTATATAAAAATAATAATACTAGTAATATTTTTTAATCAAAACTCAATTCAAATGTTTTGTGTATTCTTCAAAAATTTTAATTTTACATAAAATATGAATATATTATTTTGATATTTTGTGTTAACTTGATGTAACAATCATATATATTTTTAAATAAAAATAATAATTGTAATTAAAAACTTTATGTTCATTAAGATAAACAAGAAGCACTTTACTTTAATAATAAAATTTATCTTAGTGGGAAAAAACTCAAAATAATTGTATTTTTAAGTTTAATAACAATATTATTCATTGAGACCTCAATATTTTTTTTTTATATTCAATTTTTTTGATCTCAACCACGTAAAATAAATATACAAACTAGTTAATTATTATATTTATTTTGATTTTACATAAAAATAAAGTCATTAAGGGAGGGCCATTTTAAACTCATAAAATTTTTCAATCATAAAATCTTTTTTTCGGCCGCACTCTCTCCTTTAATTTAAAAAGCATAATAACTAGATTTAGTCTAATAGTTACCCAAAATTTAGCCAAATCAGAATTACTTGGTAAAAATATATTTGTAACTCATGAGTTTATCCCAGCAAAACTTGGATAAAACCTAACTAGGTCCCTTTCAAGAACTTTTTTTAAATTTTTTTGTCAAGAAAAACATTACTTTATTTCTTTTTTTATTTTTTAAAATTTATATTTTTTTGAGATAGATTTAGGTTGAACTATTGACTTGTGGATTAATTCAATAAATCCATAAATTGGGTTGATTCTAATAACTTTGTGCAAGTAGAGAATAATATAAATTATATTTTGAAACCTTACCTGATAAATTAAGTGTTTAAGTTAAAATGATTATTTGATATAATATTATCATTTTGATGACCAAATAATTATGATTTACTCTTATTCTAATTAATAAAATTAAGCATAAGATAGTATAATATGTGAAAATTTCAAGTTCAAGCCAAAATAGCTGTCATTTGAGAGAGTGAGTCAGATAATAATATAAATTATATATTGAGATCTCACCTAACAGGTTAAACTTTTTGGTTTAGATGATTTTTTGATATTTTTTTGTTCAATTCTTTGATCTCTTTCTTTTATTATTTAGAAAATAATAATAAATATTTACCTTGATTATTTCCTTAGCAAGCCCCCTCAAACTTGTGATAATTTTAATTTTTATGAGTTTAACATATATCACTTCTATTTTCATTATAGCATATCTACTTATCTTCAACAATTATATTTTCATAAACATAGCTATTTTTAGTTATTTTCCTCCTCTACTGTTGTTGTTATATTTGTCTAGCAAAACATTTCTTTTTAAAATTTAACTTTACAAGTGATCATTCTACTTTGATTTACTATTCATCACACTGAAGATTTTGTTTTATCATAGCTCCTTAGCTATTTTTTATTTTCTTTTTTAAAAATAATTCTTTTTTTTTAATAGGTGGTCTCTTTTGTACTGTCTTATTTTTCGTATAAGAATTTACTAACTTATATTAAGTCTCTCTCGTTTTTTTTTTTCTTGATGTAGGATCTCAATTCTCTTGTTAGATTTTGTCATTTTACACCTTCTTTATGTTATTTGGTTATACACATGATCTTGAAATTTTTTCTTATCATGAGTTGATATATTATTAAAAAATAATATTAAATAAAATATATAATAAATAATAAATAAGATTGAAAATAATGTGTTTTAAAGTAGAATGATATAAAACCGTCCATCAAACTAGAGAGTACTAATATTTAAAACAATACATAATTGATTTGTTTTAATATAAAAAAAAATTATAAAAATTATAAATTAATATAAATTATATATTAAATTTTATTTAACAACTTAAATTTTTAAATTAAATTAATTTCTTGGCATCGGAGACATATAAATATCTTCATGAAATCTTGAAACCTGGGAAAGAAAATGAAACTAGTGAAAGGGTGTGTGATTTCTTTCACGTGGATGACATTTCTTTTCACTTTCTTGCACTTCCTTTCTTCTCCATTATACGGTGATCAAGGATTAGCTTCCTTTAGCGACAGAGCTGAGACAGTGTGACAGAGCTGAGATAGTTGCAAAATGAAAGTGATTGCCATCTGGCTAGCTTGATAAGGTTGGCGGGATTGAATTATAAAACCAGCTACCTTGCCACGAGGCTGCCTCTCCAACGCTAGGCTTTATGGTAGATCTGGGGCCCTACATTTGGAGACCAATCCCTTCCCTTGTCATCTTGGCCATCCGATTAGTTTGATTGAAGTTTCACTTTATGCTAAGGTCTTAATAAGGATATATATGAACTCGGCAAGTGAAAGCTACAAATATTAATTCATAATGCAGCACTAAAAAAGAATAAAAAAGAAATGCCACTTGGTTTTTTGGAGCTCACGTTAAGTATAATCCTTTCTTTAGCCCTTCAGTACCGTATACTTTCTTTTTAAAAGAAATTTATATTGGAAAAAGAAGCTGTATTTTATATATCTAGTAGGGTTCTCATCATGATGCAAGCTAGAATCCTAAGTTGTTTTGAGCAATGAATTTAATCATTTAATGGTAGATAAGCTGAAACTTTTCTGAAGGGCATTTCAAAGGTATAGTTACGAGCTAGGGACCGATCGATTGTACTGTTTGGTATAAAAATTTGGTGGCAATGTCATTTCAACCAATAATTTACCTGATTATGACAATCACTACTGCACTCTCTCGAACGTTTATACTATGCGATAAAGATTTTTAGCGTTTTGTTCCCTTCGTGGTAAGGAAAGATCATTGATCACTTGTTTGATATTGACTGCCTTGTATTATACGACGGTTGCTTGTGAAATTGGGACCATCATGATGAAGGGGCCAGTATTGAATCATGTTGTCAATTATGGTGGTTTTCAGTGTTCTTTCATCATTTATAAGGAAGCTAAACACACCAAATCTACATCTGGTTTTTGTGATTCTTGGTGAATGAATTCAACACTTGTAACCAAAATACATTAATTTGTCATTCGATGCCATCTACTTCAAATATAGGATGCTTAGATTAGAGAGGTGGAACGCCGTCCCTTTTCAGTTATGTACACGTGAAGTAGGGCATAGGATGGCTCCCCGTGCATTGATGAAGGCAGTGGATGAACTTGCAACTTTGAATGAGCCTCTAGGCTTGCCTTCGACAAGTAAGCCTTCTCCTCTTAAAATCTGTTCGCTCCAGGGTTATTCTTTGGAAACCATCCCTGGTGCTGCTATATCACAATTTATTCTTGGACATAGCTATTCACGAAACGTGGTATAGGACTTGACAGCAGCAAGAGCCTCACATCCAAGCAAGAGCTCAAATCCATCCTATTAACGAGTTGATCCATGCACTATACTATAAATCACACGATCAGAAGTAAGCAATCTTGAAAAAAATACATTGGATATCGGTTTTTAAAAAAAAAACAGGGGGGGAAGGGGGCATGGCTAGCTTCAAATCTAGATCTCTTTTATGATAGTCATCGCGAATCCATTTTCTTTGATGGATGACCTCAAGGACAACTCATTCACAGACCTGTCATCTTAGAGGGGACGTTGCGCCCAGAAAATATGATAGGAGAAACTATACGTAGAGCAACGAGCGATTGGGCATAAATTAGAATCAATCCCTCAAGATTTGACAGCTTCAAATCCATTAACAACCATTTATGAAACACACATCAGGTTTTGAATTGCGGAGAGCGGGTGAGAAGGATCCCAAGTTGTCAACCATCTGTATTGAAGCCAAACCAAATCCTCTCACTCTAACTTTAGATGTAGTTGTTTTAGTCCCTCCATCCTGAATTGCCGTCCGTCGAAGAATGGAGGACCAAATTGCCGTCGTGTCCATATTGATGTCAAACTGGATTTTAATCCTCTGTACATACATTATTTCAGAATTAATGTGGTGGGAGGGTGGATGCCTAAATTCCTAAATGACAAGACTATACTCTATCACTCCATCTTTAAATATAGTTCATTCACTCCTTCATAT